ATTTATGTGTTTATTATTGCAAAAGCAAAAGTGAAGAGTGTTTCTATGACTTACTTTATGTTATCAGAATCAGCCACCGATTTATAGACTGTATAGAAAGAGTATCTCAAAAAATGCTACCTCATCCATAATATTAAGCTAATTAAGTATCCTATATCATAACTTAAGCATTACTTCTATTTCGTTGGATTTATACCTCTTACGTTTAAAAAACAGAGTGAATTTTCTCTGATAAGACAGCAATTTATCATAATGGATGGAACAGTTAATAACTACAGCTTCCTAGAGTAACAAAATTCATGACAGCATGATAGGAGAATACTGTCATGAATGGAAATCTGTCCAAAACCTTCCTATTCAAAGTGCGGTACATGGACCCGTGGCGTATACGTCACCTAGGAGCTTGTTAGAAGTGCAGACAGACTCCTCATCCTCTTGCTTCCCACCTACTGAATCAGAGCCTACATTTTGACCAGAAACCTCCATGTAATTTGTGTACAAGTTAAATTTGAAGTTGGTGACAGAATTGTTAGTTGTAAATTGCATTCACCTTTGATATGGAAAAAATGAAAACCCCATAAGTAGGGGTGACGTGTATAGTCTGAAAATATTGATAAATGAGAAAGGTTGAAAGTTCTATGAAATCTATGATAAGTTAGAAATGTTGGAAAAAATAAGATACAATTTATCTCAGAAAATGCAAACTAATAGGTATGCATAAAATATTCTGTAATACATAGTATTTGGAGAAACTGAACACAGAAAGCATCATGATACCTGTGATGTGGGATGATAGTAGACCACAACCAGAAGTTAATCAGTAATAGATCACAGTGGTCACTGTTCCATGGCCAATTTCATTCCTTAGAGATTTTCTTAAGCATAGTTGAAGCTTGTGCACTTCTCACACAGTAACACTGTTTGCTAGAAAGATAAAGATAAACCGGAGGGTGTTTAGAGATGGGCTAGAAGATTGATTATGGCATAGGAAGAACTGATATATGAGGAGAGAGAAAAATAATTAAATGGGCAACACTATGGTATAAAAAGAGCCTATGGAGACACAGATATTTATCTAATGTCTCCTGTGCTGTTTCCTGTAGTATCTATATGAAAGATGCAGAACTGTAAGGATAAAAGAATGCCAAGAAATTGGTTGTAGACCAAAGCAATATCAGCTAGAATGACTTGATTAACTTTAGGAGCAATAGCAAAGATTAAGTTTCAGAGATTTTTACCTGCTGCATAAGAAACGAACTTGAGCAGGATGACTTTATCCCTGAGAACTTTCGAAAACACTCCGGGCAAAGAGTGGAAACTTGTTTATCAAGTTGCTAAACAGTCTTTCCAGAAATAGTTGGAACCCCATCTCTTGAAAATTCCAAGATTAGGGTAGAGAAAACCTAGGAGGCTGCATGTGGGAACTCTCTCCCACTTCTGGCGGAGTCCTGAAGATTGATGAGTAACATTTTTTCATTTCACTAATTTCTTTTGCAATATCTTTGATTATTGCAAAGATTACCTTACATAGATAATTTTTTTTGTCAGGTTGGTATCTTATTTAGTTAAAAATGTTACCTTCTAGAAAAGCATCTAGAGCGTATCACTTGTCTGTCCTCCACCATGTCTGCCTTCTTGGCACTTAGCGACATTCTTTTTTCATTTCTCTCACTCTAACTCATTAAGAGATGCAATTCATGACATAGCAGGAGTGAATTCACTTCCACATTCACTTCATTCAGAAAATGAAAAAGACACACCCAAAACGCATCTTGCCTTTTGGAGCCTTTTTTCAAATAGATGAAGAAACTACGGATGTCTGAAATCATCTAGCGCTTTAGAGAGTTTAGTGATTCTTTTCACTAGGATGAAACCCCAGTTTGTGTTTGTCAAGGAGTAGTGGTCTGAGAATACCACATTTCCTTTTCCCTTCTTCAGTACGCTTGCCCCAGATCCCCCAGTGAAATCTGTCATCTGAACAGGGAAGCCTAGAATCCTGATTCCATGGTTCAAGAAGGAAGTAAAGCATGATAAAACTGAAGCAGGATATTTTCCCTGACTGCATAGTGGGCAGGAACTGGAGCACGGACGATGGCTATTTCAACATCGGCAGGGGCAAAACCAAAACAGGCACCTGCTGCTGTTGGAGTGGGGATGGGGATGGCACCTCTAAGAACAGAAGGAAATCACATCGTTCTGAATTGCTTATCTGATTGCTGGGCCAAAAGCTCATTATACTTGGTAACATTTCTACAGTCTGTAGCAAAACCCCTGCCATTATTAAAGAAGAGATAGGAGCCATTTCAAACTGTAAAGGAAGAAAGGAAAGATACCATAGAAAAGCCTGGGGGTGTCTTGGCCAACTGTCCATTACATCTGGGACTGGGTCCAGTCCAGGGGCCTTCCAGCAACACCAAGGAGGGGCTTTAGCCAGGTGCCTTCAGTTGCCCCAGGACTTTATTCTGGTTCCACGTGATGGCTAAACCTCCATGAAAGGAAATAGACCCAACATGCCTTTCACATGAAAGAAAGAGAGAGATGGCAGGGTTGCATCCCGTCCCCTGCAAGGGGCATAACTCAGAGGAAAGTCTGAGGACAAGAAGAGACAGATCTACATTTTACTGACCCTTCTGATGTATCCTAGGCAGGCTCCCAGTTTCCCTGACCACTTAGCAGGCGGAAACTGGAATGCGGATGCTGGAGCTAGCTGGTGGCTTCAGCACCAGCAGAGGTAAACTTCACTCACTTGAGCCTGCTGCGCCCAACCCCTGGTGGGAGGGAACATGCAGGTGAGTGGGTGCAGGACCTGGGGCAAGTGCTTTTAGGCACTGGCAGAAGCAAAACTTTGTGCAGACCCCACGGCAGCATCTAGTGGGGAGTGCAGGAGTATTACAGTCAGCCCTCTTTTAGCTTTGCCATCTGCGGATGGCTTAAATATTAACAGTTTAGTGGAGGGTCATCCTTTTGGCACCTGAGTTCTTGTTTGGTATTCAAGAGGAATGAAGTCACATGAATGAGTTGAAGATGGTAAATTTGGGGGACTTAATTGCCGATAAAAGTGGTTCTCAGGAGTAGGGGAGCTGGAAGGGAGATGAGATGGGAAGGTAATCTTCCCCTGAAGTCTGGCCATCCCTCACCAGACTCCCCTCTGAAGCTATGCTATCAAGCCATTCTTCTGAAGTCAAGCTGCTTCTCTCTGACTGTAGTCTCTGACGTCTAGCTACTGCTTCTCTTCTCAATGTTCAGCCACTTCTCCTCTCTGCTGGTTGGGTCAGGGGTTTTTATGGGTATGGGATGGGGATGGGGGTGGGGTTGGTCATGAGTGGTTCTGGAAAAGTCAACATTTGAGCATGAAAACAGGAATATATGTTCGTTCTTTGGGCTGTTGTGCCAGGCTTGAGGGTGGTGTCTTCACTGGGGACCTGCCTTCTTCTGCCTAGAATTCCCTGCCTCCTATCCCTATCAAAAGTTTTTAATCTATTTAATTGCTTCATTTTTTCCTGCTAATTCCTTCAGACCCACATTTACATTGTCTGGGAGATCTAGTTTAATGTAAGTGCTGCTAAGAATAATTCATATCAAATATGTTGACTGAGAAGTTACATACACTTCATTATGCTGGTGTGTGGGAAGGTTTGCCAAACTTAACTTTTAAGTCATACTAATTAAACTACTTTAGGCGCTCCATAAATGAATTGTGGTTTTTAGTTGATGATTTTTTTTTTTTTTTTTTTTTTTTTTTTTTTTATAGACAGAGTCTTGCTCTGTCACCCAGGCTGGAGTGCAGTGGCACAACGTCAGCTCACTGCCACCTCTGCTTCCCAGGTTCAAGCAATTCTCCTGCCCCAACCTCCCAAATAGCTGGGATTACAGGTGTCCACCACCATGCCCAGCTACTTTTTTGTATTTTTAGTAGAGATGGATTTCACCATGTTGGCCAGGCCGGTCTCGAACTCCTGACCTTGTGATCCACCGGACTCAGCTTCCCAAAGTGCTGGGATTACAGGCATGAGCCACCATGCCCAGCCCTGATGATTTTTTTTTTTTAATTAAAAGAAAATTAAAGGAAAATTTCTTAAAACTAAAGCAGGTACACTGTCATAAATAACAAAATTAAACAATAATTTTTATTATTTATGACAATGTACCTGCTTTAGTTTTAAGAAATTCTCATTGCTGATATCAAAGAGTTATAACTTCTTTCCTTCTTGAAAGAGATCTGAAGGGGGAAATAAAAAGGTTAGAATTATATTCAGCTATTATGTTAGTAACACAAAGATGATCTCCTCTGTATTCGGTTCTTGTGAAAATGACTCTAACAAATTGTCAGTATCTTACATGTGCAAATAACAACTGTCTTCAAGGTAAAAATTAATTGAGAGAAAAAATTAATAAGTTACAAGCTTACTTTTTCTTTTCTTGCTTCCTGTTATACCTACTAAAGGGATGTGGGGTGGGAGGGGGAGTCTTTTTTCTTTCTAAATCATTCTAGTGTCATATTGATTTTCTCTCAAGTACACCCTGTGGTCTCAGATGATCGTATATTTTCTTACGTTACTCATTGATACAGCACCTTGGCTTATGGGTTGACATACATTACTTGAGCTAAGATGACACTGCCCACCATTGACATTTCCTGGGGGTGGGGTGTACTGAGCCTCTTATGCATGAAACATAAAGGAACAGGCTGTTTCATAACAGTATTTTCATTCTTTGAAAATCAATTATTGTTCACTTCAAATGATATCTTAAGCCCTCATCAGGGTTGCTTCACATTGTTTCTTACCCCTACAGCAATGTCTTGAGTTCTTTTGTGTCTTTGCTGATACAGAAAAAAAGTTACTCACCTGGGCATCAAAATATTCCAGTTACACTGTTTGTAAGAAAGTTTGTATTATTACCTACCTGGAAGAATACAGGTAACCTGCCTATATACTGTTGCGTTCTCTCTTTCTTTCTTTCTTTTGTGTCTCCTCTCATCTCACCTCCCTCTGTTTCAGCTAGCTGTGAGGTGGTTGGAACACAACTGCCACTACCAGTACATGGACGAGCTCCTGCAGTACATCCGCTTTGGCTTAATGGATGTGGACACTCTCCATACAGTTGCCCTGTCCCACCCTCTTGTCCAAGCAAGTGAGACTGCAACAGCCCTTGTCAATGAGGCCCTGGAATACCACCAGAGCATCTATGCACAGCCTGTCTGGCAGACTTGCAGGACCAAACCACGGTTCCAGTCAGACACTCTGTATATCATTGGTGGGAAAAAGCGTGAGGTCTGCAAGGTCAAGGAACTTCGGTACTTCAATCCCGTTGATCAGGAGAATGCTCTCATAGCTGCCATTGCCAACTGGAGTGAGCTGGCTCCCATGCCTGTGGGAAGGAGCCACCATTGTGTGGCAGTCATGGGGGACTTCCTGTTTGTGGCTGGAGGGGAAGTTGAGCATGCCAGTGGCCGGACGTGTGCTGTGAGGACTGCCTGTCGCTATGATCCCCGCAGTAATTCCTGGGCAGAGATAGCACCCATGAAAAACTGCCGGGAGCATTTTGTGCTGGGTGCTATGGAGGAATACCTCTATGCAGTTGGGGGCAGAAATGAACTGCGCCAGGTTCTGCCTACAGTTGAACGATACTGCCCCAAGAAGAACAAATGGACTTTTGTTCAGTCCTTTGACAGATCCCTTTCATGCCATGCTGGATATGTGGCTGATGGTCTTCTTTGGATATCAGGTAGAACATACCTCATGTTGGATTTATCAAAACACTCTTTCATTGTGCTATAAATTTAAAAGTCAAGATTTAATGTGGCCATGTGTAATTGAAAGCTTGAACCAAGCATGCCATTTTAGCTAATTAACATTCATTTATTGAGCACCTACTCTAGAGAGGAATGTAATTGGAAACAATGGGCCTTTCTGTGATTTTCTGAGTGATTAATGGAATAAAAATTCAAGGTGGAAATTGTTGGTCCATCACAACTGCTTTTTTCTACCAAAACTTCTCCTGTCAGCTCTTGATTATTCATGGATTGTATGGCACAGTTTGTGATTTATCTAGATCCTTTGCTGCTTCTTTCACTCCTGGCTGCCAGACTAGAGCCATTTGCATCAAAGGCAAGAGAAGTAAAAGCCCAGTTAATTCATTTTTCTGGGTATAGCAATAGGTATATATCCAAGTAATCACTAGAGGGAAAGGATTTAAGTTACTAAAACAAAGTTGTCGTTGTTTTGTTATGGTTTCAGATAGGGTCTTACTCTGTTACCCAGCTGGAGTGCCATGGTGCAATCTTGACTCACTGGAACCTCCACCTCTCAGGATCAAGTGATCCTCCCACCTCAGCCTCCCAGATAGCTGGGAATACAGGAGCACACCACCACACCCAGCTAATTTTTGTATTTTTTGTAGAGACAGGGTTTCACTATGTTGCCCAAGCTGCCCCCAAACTCCTGAGCTCAAACGATCCACCAGTTTCGGCCTCTCAAAGTGTTGGTATTATAGGCGTGAGTCACTGCACCCAGCCTAAAACAGTGTTTTGTTTTTCTTTTTTAATTATCTGTGAATGGTAGTTACTTGTGCCATCATAACCCTTCATTCCTATTTACTCTCCCATTTTGACTGATTATTTGAGGATACAGTTTGAGCTCTAATTTACCTTTTTGTCTCGTTTGAAAACCTTTTGATTGTGGAAAAAGTAGGGAGACGAGGACAATGAACCCCAGGTACCCATAATGTAGACTCGACAGTTACTTGCTCCTTGCCCATCTTGTTTTCTCTACACCCACAGACCCTTCACTCCCTTCCTAGTTGCCTTTTTCCTTACGCAGAAGGAGTCTGTGAGGCATATGCTGTCAACGTCATATTATTGACCTGTGTTTTCAATCTTATTTTTGAGAAAGGCCCTAAGTGTTCTCCTTTGAAAGGTTTTTGTATCAGGAAGAAAGCTGCAATTTCTCCCAGTTGGAAGATACTTGTATTGTAACCCAAATGGAACTTGTTGGATTTCTATCAACAATTTTTAGTCATCAAGCACTAAGAGGAATAGAAAGGGTCAAAACTTAAATATTAAAAATAACACTGGCATTTGTACTTAGAAGAAATCATTACTTTTAAGTACACCTGCAAAGGCTTATCAGCTTTCTTCAATAATCATCTCTAGTCTTTTAACACCTGCTCTGATAAAATTCTCCCTTACATTTGTTTAAACTAAGTTCATTTGGACTTTGACTGTTCTTCTGCTGTCCTCAATAAGCAGGAAGATAGTCATAGGCTCAGGTTCTCCGAGTGGTGCCTCAATTATTGGCAATTCACTGATTTTTATTGACAGAACCTAGCTCACATCAGGGTTTACGTGCTCAGTGAATTAATGAATGAAGTGAAGACTAAGACTAAGGAAGCAGAAAGGGGAAGTGGACCCAACATTTGCTGGCTCTATACCAAAGAAACGTTAGAAACAAGCACGTATGTTAGTATATGTAGATATATTTAAATTAAAGCCTCAGTTATCTAATTATTGTTCCTTTCTCTTTAAATATATATTTCAACAATTAATGAGCACCAGGACTATATCCTTTTAGCTGTGCTAAAGAAATTTCAAGCTAGGCAGCAAATAAGTCTTTGCTAATAGAAGAAACAGATCTGTACTTGTCTTGGATTAGCAAAACAGCGATGGTTTATGAAATCAATGCCATTTATGTTTTCTCCCAATTGACATTCCTCCCAATGACTCATTTAGTTTCATATATTATTAATGTACTGTATTCCTAAATTTTGCACTGCATTTTCTAAGTTTTGTGTGAATTTCTTATAAATATTTTAATAAATTTTCCTTGTCTTTTGGCTGTAAACCTAGCTTGTAAAAGAATGCTGGGGTTTCCCTTATATAGTCTTAAAGAGATGATGACTTAATACCTTCTTCAGCAAGACCTTAAGAAGGCATAGACGCTCCTGTTAGACTTCTTCCTGGTATCAAGCTGACTTCCCTTTCAATATGAGTCTATGTGTTTCCTATTCCATTTTATTAAATCTATCAACTTACTACAGATCCTTATTGCTATCTCACTTTGATTTTCTCCTACTGTGAAGTGAAATACATTTTCTTTGTTCTTCTTTCGCCCTAATATATGCTGCCTGTGTTAACCATACTTAATGAAAACAATCACAATTTTCTCAGGTTTGTTTCTCCCTATTGTGTACTTGAGATGAGAAACTCACTTTGCTGTGTACAGTACAATACTTTTAATTGGAAAGAAGAGGAAATCGCTAGTGACATTTCTAATACCTTCAGTCATCTGCCTCTTTCCTTAGGCCCAGCTTATAATAAATCGTGAATCTAACCATAAATAGGGAGGGGTGACTGGATTTGCTAATGGACCCCTTAACAAAAATACAGGTGTAGTTCACCCTGCCTATCACTGAATTGGGAGTGTAACCTGATTTATTGGAGCAGATGAAAATGTTTGAGACTATTCCTTAGCCTTTACCAAATAATCACACATTTCCAATTTAATTGATGGGGATTTAATCATGGTCATCCTTCTGGTATTTTGCAAACTTTGCCTGAGGTGGAGGTAGTATTGATTATAGAAGGTGGATTTTAGGGTCTTGGTTCTGTTCTCTAGAACACAGAATGAATGTTTCTTTGGAGACTCGACATTTCCAGCAAGCTCACTCCCTCACCACGCCTCTCCCCCATTTCAGTCCATTTTGGGGTCAAGAAATCTTGAAACCTGTTTATAGTTTTTGAAGTATGACAAGCAGAAAGGAATCCAGAAATAATTCTGTATGTACATACCCGTTAGCATTTAAGATGTCGAATTTTACAGGCTCCTGTAGCATTTGACGTTGTGACCCAATTCGCAAGTGTTCCATACCATTTTGATTTGAAATTCGCAGTATCAAAGGAAAATAAGCATTTAAATATCCTACAACTGTGTTTTAAAAATATATGCTCTCTGTTGGAAGGTATAGTTTGTGAACTACTAAAAAGAACCTTTTTTATGTAAGGGAATACTAATCCCAAGCCCATCTTGAAGAACAACTTATTTTTTCATTTTCATCAAATGGTAGCTAAGTAAGATGCTAACTGCAATATTAGTGCTTTAAAGTTATAAAAATAAGACAAATGTTATTGCATTTACTCAAAAGCAGTATTTAGTGCTTTCTTGATTCTCTTGGTAAATGCTACATCCTTGTAAAGTATAGTGCTGAGTCACAGATAAATGAAATTAATTCAGCAAACATAATTCCTGCCCTCTAGGAGCTGACAATAAAATAATTTTTCAGATATTTTGTTAATGAAAGAACATCTGTTAACTTTAACTCCCTAGAAGCTAGGTGTATTTTCATCTTGATTAAATTTATATGAAGTTTGCATTGCCCCATTTTAAATAACTTTTAATGTATTCAAAGCTACTAACAGGACTTGGGTTTTTCTAGTATTAATTAAAATTAAAATAATGTAAAATTTTATTAACATTTAAAAATATCACTACCTTATCTTTAGGTACATATTGTTTTACTTAACATCTTAAGAATTGTGGACAAAGCCCGGGTGCAGTGGCTCACACCTGTAATCCCAGCACTTTGGGAGGCTGAGGCAGGTGGATCGCCTGAGGTCAGGAGTTCAAGACCAGCCTGGCCAGCATGATGAAACCCTGTCTCTACTAAAAATACAAAAATTAGCTGGGCATGGTGGTGGGTGCCTGTAATCCCAGGCTGAGACAGAAGAATTGCCTGAACCCAGGAGATGGAGGCTGCAGTGAGCCAAGACTGCACCATTGCATTCCAGCCTGGGCAAAAAGAGTGAAACTCAGTCTCAAAAAAAAGGAATTGTAGACAAAATATTGAGAACTAACAGCAGGCATAGAAGAGGCTGGGTTGTGGTGCACTGAGACCACAGATTGTGGTCACATACACACAAAATTTGTGCTGTTTATCCAGCATGAGATGCTGAGCTAAAGTTCCTAACCTCTCCAAGTCCTATTCCAGGATAGCGCTGCAACAACAAAGTAGCCTATGGTAGAGGGAACAGACTTTTAAATAGGTAGAGTGTGTGATGGTGTGACAGCAGAAGTCTTAACAAGGTACAAAGTAGAGCAAAGCACGGAGTGACTACCGCAGAAGGCATGAAAGGCAGCACCTAAAATAGTTACACTAGCAACTAATCCTGGAGGTGCCTAACTTAGCTTCAGGCCCTTTGGCTACTTTCTATTATCCATTAACCCCTCCCTGTCATCATATTGAACTTCATGGCCCGATCACTTCAATAATTCTCTTGTCCTCTGTCAAACAAGCAATGTTTGACAAACCCAGTGATCTGCTTGGTCTGTGCCTGTACCTAGATGGCTCCGGCTGTGGGAGGAGGACAGTTAGCAGGAGGGCTTGCTATGGGTATATTCTCAGCACATCATGCACAGTGGCACTCTCAGCCCTCTCTGTACCCTACTGCTACTCACTCACCACTTCCTTCACTGGCTGTAACTTCTTTACTTTCCTGAAAACCCCCTTTTCAGACTCAGAGAGAAGACCTTGCCTTCAGTTTCTCAGAGCAAATAAGTGAAACAATGGAAGGAGGAGGCAGAGAGCATGACAGGAGAGATAGATTAGAGATCGTCTGGAAAGGGGTTAAGGGCAGAAGTTTGGGAAACACTAGCAAGGAGGGTGCAGGGTTGGGGGTACTAAGGAAGGAAGGAGCCTGAGAATGTGGAACGGCAGGGTCAGAGGAGGAGGAG